CAAGTAGTACTTATATGGTGTGACGTGGAAACGCCGCCAAGGAAATACGTTATATTGGTGTGACGTGCAAACGCTGCCAACTAAATAGCGAAATAAAGAAGCGTCACTATAAGAATCATTGGCGTATTTATTTTAACGTTTGGATAAGGGAACCCAACATCCGACCGAGCTATAGACCGGATAAACCGGGTTCGTTACAATTGGCGCCCAACGTGGGGCACTAGAACTCCAGCAACATACAAGGGTAAGTTGAACGTCGTTGCCGATGCACTGTCACGACAACCCCAAGACGTACAGCTCAACATATTAGTGCAGGATAAAGAGGCAACGGCCTGCAAGTGGCTGGCCGAGAAAATGGCAGAGGTGAAGAGGACACAAGAAAAGATCCCGGACTACACAATTGTAAACAACGAACTGTATCGACACATCGCAGTCCAGATGGATGATGAAGACACAGTACCGTGGAAGCTATGCGCGGCAGCGCCACTACGTGATAGAGTACTGAAGGAAGTTCAAGATAGTCCAAGCGCAGGACACATGGGCATCCACAAGACGATATCGAGAGCGACGGCACATTACTACTGGCCCGGAATGTTCAGGGACATAAAGAAGTATGTCCAACAGTGTACTACCTGCCAGATTTACAAGCCCAGCCAACAGAAAGCTGCGGGAAAGATGCTAACCCAGATTGCAGAAGAACCTTGGGCCACAGTATGCGCAGACTTTGTGGGACCATTGCCACGATCAAAGCACGGAAACACAACCGTACTAGTCTTTATCGACAAGTTTTTCAAATGGGTAGAAATTGTGCCTCTACGGAAGGCGACAGCTGAAGGCCTCAACAAAGCGTTTCGAGAACGCGTACTCGCTTGATTTGGAATCCCGAAAATTGTAATAACTGACAATGGAACACAGTTCAACAGCAGAGAGTACAAACGGCTACTACGAGAGTACGGGGTTAAGCATCAACTCACCGCACCATACACGCCACAAGAAAATCCGACGGAGAGGGAAACCGCAACATAAAGAGAATGCTGGGACAGTTTATCGGAAAAGAACAGCGAAATTGGGACGACTTACTACCCGAAATGACACTAGCGCTTAATACCAGTGTTTGCGAAGCCACCGGCTACAGTCCTGACTTCTTAGTACAAGGACGCGAGCCGCGAGTACCAAAAGCCCTCTACGACGAACAAACTTTCAGTACCGGCCAAACGACGACGACACCAGAGGCGAAGGCAACGAAAATGCGAGAGGTATTTGAGATGGTAAGGCGAAATCAGCAGACAGCGTCGATCGAGCAAGCGCGTCATTACAACTTGCGCAGTAGGAAATGGCAACCAGGGGTAGGTGACCGAGTGCTGGTGAAGGAGCATCACCTATCGAAGGCGATGGAAAACTTCGCGGCAAAACTTGCACCGAAGTATGCTTGGCCGTACCGAGTGACGAACTTCGTTTCGCCAGTAATCGTCGAATTAGACAAGGTACATAACGGTAAGAGGAGAACAGCACATCTGAGTGAGCTGAAGCCATTTTACGGCGATAAAGAGGCCGACGCGGCAGAGTCACCAAAAATCCTGCCCCGGCATGCACCTGAGCCTAATTCGGCGCAAGGCGAAGAATAGGTAAATTTCGGTCATAGACAGAAATGTGATAACTCGGCAATTGCCAAATAGGGGAGCGATTGCCATGAAAAGGAGACCCTAAGGGGAGAGAAGAAGAAGAGAAAATATAAGAGAAAAATAGGGAAGAAGAAGAGGGAGTTTAAAAGAAAGAAGAAGACAGTTTAAAGGAAAGTAGAAGGAGTTTAGAAGAAAAAAAGGGAGAATGAGAAGAAGAAGAAGAAGAAGAAGAAGAAGAAGAAGAACGAGGTTGTAGCACGAAAATACTATGAAAAAAGGAGATAATTCATGCCAAGAGAAATAAACAAACAAAAAATTTGAATAGCATTAATATAAAAACAAACATAATAAGGCAATACAATTATTAATATGTATAAAAACTATTAATAAACAATAATGTCAGCAAATACAATAATAATAACAAATATAATAATAATAATTAATATCGTAAAACGGATACATCAAGCTGGCAACACTACTCCGATATTGACATATCGATCCCTGCAAAAAAATCCCCCTTTTGGGAGAGTGGGCAACATTGCAATATAACAGCTGAATAAAACCATAACAAACTAAAATATTATAAACCAAAAAATAACAAAATGCAAATAATTTGGAAATATACAGTTTGTCGCGCAAAGGCAACTGTTTCCCAACTATGTAATATAAAAAAACATCACAAAAATGACCCGCTACTCAAAAAGTGACTGCAGCGATGGATACATGGGTAACTGGAGAAATTTTCAAGGCGATGGGCGTAAAGGACGACACTTTGAAAGTGCGTTTGCGCCGCCTGACGGAAGCAGAAATTAGGCAGCATACTGGCGTTGGTGGAGGAGAAGGCGTTGAAGACAACGCAAGTCAGGCCAGCACAGAAATTTACGTGCACGACAGCCCAAACAGCGGTGCGAGTGATGAGGGGCGCTGGAGTCCTGCATCATGGAACCCAAGCGACTACACGAGTTTTGTAGCCAGCAGCGAGGCGGGTAGCGGCACCTTTACGCCAACAGAAGTATACGGCGATAGCAACGACGATGACTACGAGTGGCATCTAGGTGAGATAATAAGGGCGCCCACGCCGATCGAGGTGTCCGATGACAGCTATGACGAGCCGGGGCGAAATGGACATCGAACAGGAGGACTGCCAACGCCCAGGTGAGGGTTACATAGAGTATGTCCGGCGCATCACAATGACGATGCGAATTTTTAACGGCGTGTCACACAACACCGAATCGAAAAAAATCCTTGATAACATTGATTACTTGTATCAATGACAACAATTTAGTAAAGTTTCAACGAAATCGGTGACATAAATTTTTTCACCTGCTACACTTGGCGAATTTTTCCCCGTATATAAATGTGCAAATCTAATTAGCTTCACAAAAAATTGCTTCTCTACATAAATGTGAATGTCTGCTTGTTTATTACCTTATAACTTCTGAACCGTGGCACGGAATCGCACGAAACTTTGCAAACTTATTTGCTTTTACCCCGGGAAGGTTATAGGAGTAGAGAAAAATGGGCAGTACTGGAAAAGAGGGTGTGGCACCTGCTATACTAACTAAAATTTTCATGTTTTATATCTCTTGAAATATTTGTGGTAGAGCATTGGAATTTGCTGTCGAGATAAGTAAACTTAATTCCATACTCTTGGGGAAAAAATGGGCGTGGCACCTCCCATAGGCGTGAATTATTTAATCAGCTCTAACTTCGGAACCGTAAACCACATGAACTTGAAATTTGGTATGCAAACATATCCATGGTAGATGCTTATCTTAAGGTATGTATATATAAATCAGTTTGTAAAAGGAGGCGTGTCAGATAACATAAGCGTCAGTCAGTTTTAGTCAGTCATAACTTCGGAACTGCAAGTCACATGACTCCTTTAATTCCTTCTGGCGTGGGGTGAAACCCGCAGGTGAAAGCTAGTTTGAATATAAAAGTTCGTTAAATTTAAAAATTTACAATCTTGGGCGATCTTAAAATGCAAAATGTAAGTAAATACTTGTTTACTTATTTAATTTAGTTAATTCCAATGATTTTAGGTACTCGGCTGAAAAAAGCTGTATTCGTAATCGGAATGCAATCTCAACCAAAGTCGATATAGAGAACCCGACAGTTACTACGACAAAGAAATTTATACGAATGTTGAAATAAGTGAGACTACAAGAAATATATTTGTAGGTCTTGTTTTTTTGGTCCTCTGAAAGAATTTTAAAAATTCTATACAAATGTCTTATGTTTGAAATGCAACCGTGGACACTAACTGGCAGGGAAACTTACAAGTTCCTGCAAATTTGCGTTCGGGCAGAAATTTGTAAGTTTCTCTACTTGAGAGAGTATTTGGGAGCATCTTTTCTTACTATCTGATATTTTGAGTGATAATTCTCGCTGGATTTTCGACGAACAAACCTATTGTCTTCCCAGAGAGTTTTGCTTTACATAGAAATTCGTGCTCTTTTATTTTCATTTTGACGCATTTCAGTGTTGGTTCTTTTTTTAATTCAAGTTGGCCTTCGTTTTTTGGAATTTAAATAAGTTTGTTACGGAACGCATACATTGGGAGCAGCAGTGAGTGCAGGCGGCATGACACAATGGGGTGCACTGTGGCTAGTCATGTCGGCTGGGCGGGGTTCTTGTCTCACTACTGTTCCCTGCGCCATAGCAGAGAAGTCATGCCTGTCAAACATCCCAACGGACGAACACACATCAATTCAAAAAAAAATCCGTTGGTACAAACAAAAAAGCTGAAAGAAAACGTTAAATTAAATATTTAAAATAAACTGAAAAATCAACAGAAAGCAGAATCCAAACTAAAACTGAAATAAGAAATGAACCAAAAACACAAAAAAAAAACGAATGCCGAATATGAGGCACCACCGCTGGTATTGTGGTGCCGGGTGCTGGCCCACCCACCCTCACCATGGCTACTGGCGCACCCTAATATCAGTAGCCCCATTATTAAAGTCCCTACATGCCTTCTTAAATAACGAGAGAAGTCAGCATTCCTATTTTAATTATACAAAATTTATTTATAAAACTTCATCTCCTTAGCCTAATTCTTAAATCTATTTCCTAACATCCAAAACTAAGAATATAAGAAAACTAAAGCAAGGTAAGTAATTAAGGTAAGTGTATATCCGGTAAGTAAAGATAAGTCTAATTAATAATATCCCAACGGTTTTTACCCCCCATTCCTGCCCATCCGCACGAAGGGCGCAGTCCGCATGACGTACGGAACCAATATTTCAGCTACAGAACTAAATTCATCAGCTGATTTTATGTATTTATGTCAATAATTCACTTATTGAACCAATATTTTAAATTTTTGCGCCGAGTCACGATAGGCAGGAGTTTGTTAAGTGTCGAGATCTAAAACTGTTCAGCTACAGAACTAAATTCATCAGCTGATTTTATGTATTTATGTCAATAATTCACTTATTGAGAGAGGAGAGTATCGCTTTCTTAATGCTGAAAAGCGGATCTGATATATCAAACGTGCTGGAATGAGAGTTAAAATCCTGGCATAAGCAACGGAGTGGGTCGTGCAATTCAAAATTGGTTTTACAAGCTTTCAGAAATATGGGACAAAAGTGTCTTGATACGCGTGAGGGAACATTAAAGCTTACATCAGCCAGAAGAGACGGACTTGAAATTGAGCCTGTCAGTAATTTAACCATAAAAATTATACCAAGCATTTCCCTGCGACTGGCAAGTGTAGGAAGGTTAATAAGTTTTAAGCGACTCGCATAAGGTGGAAGACTATATTGAGAATCCCATCGGAAATTTCTTAAAGCAAAAAGTAGGAATTGTTTTTGAATTGATTCTATCTTGTCTGAGTAAATTTGATACCTTGGATTCCAAACCACCGAGCCGTATTCAAGAATCGGCCTAACTAATGTTGTAAACAGGGTTTTAGTGATATAAGGGTCACTAAATTCTTTTGACCATCGTTTCACAAATGCAAGTACACCTTTAGCCTTGTTGACTGTCACATTAATGTGAAGATTAAAATTAAGCTTAGGATCCATTGTGATACTAAGGTCCACAAAATTGTATACCTGTTCCAGGTTATGGTTACCTATTATATAAGAAACTGGCAGAACAGCTCTTCGCGAGAAGCACATTACTTTACATTTCTTAAGATTTAGAGGCATAAGATTTACTTTACACCAGTAAGCCATGCTATTTAAGTCTGATTGTAGCAAAGACCTTTCTTCAATTGAAACGTACGATTTATAAAGTTTTACATCATCTGCATACATTAAAATTTTGGAGAATTTTATATCTGTAGAAATATCGTTTATAAAAAGCAAGAACAGAATCGGGCCTAGGTGGCTACCCTGAGGGACTCCTGAAGTAACATCAATGACATCAGAGATAGTATTTTTAAACAATACTCTTTGTGATCTATCATAGAGGTATGAAGAGATCCAACGTAGAAAATTAGGTGGAAGACCAAGAAGACCAAGTTTATAGATGAGCAACGAGTGGCACACTTTGTCAAATGCTTTACTGAAATCAGTATATATAACATCAACAGTTTTGCTCTCACTAAATGCTTTTGAGATATAGGATGTTAATTGAAGTAAATTTGTAGAAGTTGATTTGCCCTTGCAAAATCCATGTTGACTATATGAAATGCTTGAAGTGATAGAATGCGTCAACCGATTTGTTATAATTGCTTCAAATAATTTAGGAATTGCAGAGAGCTTAGCTATGCCCCGGTAGTTCTCCACTGAGGACCTGCTACCGCTTTTATGTAAGGGGGTTATGAACGATTCCTTCCATACAGTTGGAAAAACGCCCTCTTTAAGAGACAAATTAAATAAGGCTGTTAACGGCTCATAGAGATAATCAGTACAATTTCTAAGAAAACAAGTGGGGATCTGGTCAGGAGCATAACTAAAAGACTGCTTTAAGGACTTCAGGTAAACTAAAACATCATCGGGAGATATTATAGGGTTATGTATTGAGTTAATTGGACTTAGTTTAAAAGGAAT